TTTAAAGTCCATGAAATAATTTAAATTGATAGATTAACTTAAACTTTTCCTGTCACCAGGGGTAGGTACTTTTGCTTGTTTATTATAAGTTGCTTATATCACTGAAAATGTATGTAGGATTAAACATTATAATGTTTATCTGTACAATATAAATCTAAATTAATGTTCCATAATATGTTTGTTATAAAGAATTAAAATGTGTGCATAAATTTAAAGTAGTTATATGACCCAATTTGTCTTTCAGGAAAAGGTAAAGCTTACAAGAATAATGGCTCACAAACACAGCACATGTACACTAATTGATAATAAAACGTATGTGGTCATATAAACTACTAACCATGTAAACAAGTGATATCCATTTACTACAACCATACTGTAAGTACTTAAAACCGTTGTTTTTGAAACAAAATTATTTAGATATAATGTAAAGTAAGTTTTAGAGTTCTGTTTTTTATTTATTTCTTTGCTTATCCTCATAGGAATACCCTTTCATAACAATAAAACAGATACCACAAGGATTTGTCCAGCACATTGGTGGGGTTGTATCTGCTCGTTCTGTAAAGCTCTTGGTGCAAATTAACAATCCAGGTATGTTTACTTTTATTGCCATTGTTAGTAGCCTATATGATCACGTGTGTAATTCATGTGTAAGCCAAGCATTTGGTAACTGATCTACAAAAAAACAAGAGATTTGGGGATTTAGTATGTGGAAGGAAAAGTGCAGTGATTTGTCCTAGGTGGATTGAAAGGGACAAAGACATGGTGTTGAAGTCTGAGTAAAATAAACACTATTTGTTGAAGATTAAAGTGAAATCAAATGAAGGAATGATTTGTCTGGTGGAGAAAATGTGTTGTGGGTTTTAAATTTAAAAATGTGATACGTGTATGTTTTATGAAATAGAAATGTGATGTTTTATGAAATAAATGTAATCAATGAATAAATTATTTCACATAAAACACAAACAAAACAATTTTAAGTTATCTTATCGAACTGAAATCCATCATAACTATTACTATACCAGTTTGCTATGTCATCTAAGTACCTACACAGTATATAAACCATTATGCTCGAGCCTTGTCATCAGCGACTAGCACAGCTTGAACTTAGTCATTCATTATCTGGTTATTGATCCCTTAAATAATGTTTTCTTGCCAGGTACGACTTTAATCATGGCAGATAGGTTGGTTGTGCATAAGAAGGACTACTGTAGTTGAGAATTTCAGATAGATAAATTCTTCAAGAGTGCTATCATTTTTGAGTTGTTGGTGAAGTATCTAGTTTCAAGGGTTGGTTCATTTGTGAATAGGCTGGGTTAATCAAAACTGATAATAGTATTTTGTAGGAAGTATGTTTAATAAACTAAAAAAAAGATTTGTCCATGAATGTATTATTATTTTTTAGTAATCTGCATGCAAAGTGATTTTCATGTTAAGATTAAAATACTTTCTTCAACTAAAAAATTTCAAATTTCTTTTGCATAATCTCTGAAACCTCAAAAATACATTTCAAATGTTTGTTTTCACTAAAA